CGAGCGATCGGTTTGCAAATTCTTTCTGTTTAGTGCCAGTGCGCGCCAGTCCCGTGCCCAGTCAGTGTCGTGCGAGGGAGCTTTGTTGTAAAATTCTTTCTGTGCCTCTTGTTGTACCTGTGTCGGACCTGCGTGGGTCGTACCTGTGTGGCTTGTGCAGGTTAGCTTGTACCTGTGTTGAATTGTTTTTGTGTATGTTCCTTTGTTCGAAAAAAGAAAGAAAACATGGCCCAAAGGAGGGATGGGAGGACGACACGCCGCCACCGCACAGGGTTTCACGGGAAGGAAGTACCAAAGTTCGACTTTTTGAGTCTACTCGAAAGAAAGAAAGAAAGAAAGCAGCCATCCAAACGAGGGATAGGGGAGGAGGACAGGGTCCCCACCTGCACGAGCAGGATTTTGGAAGGACGACCAGGGGCACAGGTGGGGCTCTCCTGCTCCTGACAAGGGACCGAGCTCGATTTTTTTGCGTGCTCCAACTGCCAACCTTCGGCTGGCCGCACTGCCACAGCTCGCAATTGTGTTTGACAGCTCATGCCGGTCTCTGTGAGATACAGCACAGCCGCCGAACTGGTCTGCGGCGTGGCTGCTGCTTATCTGGCGCTCGCAGCGCTCCGCCGCCTCCTCTTAACCCATGAGCGCGGCTCGGGCGCCGAGTGGCATGATGGCTCTCGCGAGCCCAGCGTGTCCGTTCGTCATGACGTCTCGCGCGAGCCTCGCGTGGGTTTGCGAAAGCTCAAACGTCAGCCGAGCGAGCGGCACCACGATAACTCGGACTCAGACATGGACGATGAGCCCGAGTCGCCTAGTCAGACCGCCTACCGCCCGGTGCCAAAGTCGACCTGCGCGACGGTCCTCCTCTTTGGGGCCGACGGCAACCTCGCGTCCACGCGGGTGCTGCCCACGCTCCACCTGCTGTGGCAGCGAGAGCTGCTCCCGCCCGACCTGCTGATAGTCGGCTTTGCGCGGCCGGTGGGTGGAGGCGGCACGATCGCCGACACTGCCGCCTTCCGTGAGTATGTGGGGCGCTGCTGCGGCGGCAGCCCTGCCGCATTCCTGCAGCGCTGCCACTATGCGACGGGCCAGTTTGACGACAGAGCCGCCGTGGGCCGCTGCCTGCAGCTGGTTGCCGGGCTCGAGGCGGAGCGTGCCGCTGGGCGCGCGGGCGGCGCGGCGGCGGAGGGGTGCGTGCGGATGTACTACGCCGCGGTCCCCGCCTTCATCTACGCGCCCCTCACGCGCGCCCTCTGCGAGAACGGCGTCGGCGCCGCGGACGGCGCGCTCAAGGAGCGCTTCGTGTTCGAGAAGCCTTTTGGGCACGACACGGCCTCGTGCGAGGCGCTCGTGGCGGACCTCGCGCGCCTGCCCGGCCGCGACGTGTTTTGGATGGACCATTACTTGGGGAAGGAGCTCGTGATGAACCTGCTCATCCTGCGCTTTGTGCGAGAAAGCGGAAAGTCGCTCCTAGTCCCACCTCTTGCCCTCACGCCCCTTGCGAGCATAGGCAAACATCTGCTTTGGCTCGCTGTGGAACCGGCACGCTGTCAAGGCGGTGCAGGTCATCTTCAAGGAGGAGCGCGGCATCGAGGGGCGCGGCGGCTACTTCGACCAGTACGGCATCATTCGCGACGTGATGCAGAACCACCTGCTGCAGATGATGGCTCTCGTCGCGATGGAGCAGCCTCTCACCCTCTCCGCCGAGCATATCCGCACCGAGAAGCTCAAGGTGCTGCTAACCCTCAACCATAGGAGCAGCCTCTCTCGCTCTCCGCCGAGCATATCCGCACCGAGAAGCTCAAGGTGCTGCTAACCCTCAACCATAGGAGCAGCCGCTCTCGCTCTCCGCCGAGCATATCCGCACCGAGAAGCTCAAGGTGCTGCAAGCCATCGCGCCTCTCGCCGCCGACGACGTGGTGCTCGGCCAGTACAGCCGCTCGCAGGTGGGCTGCGGGTACCTCGAGGAGCCGTCGGTGCGCAACAAGGCCTCCTGCACCGAGACGTTTGCGGCGGCAGTGCTCCACATCGACAACCCGCGCTGGGCGGGTGCACGCCCGCCCGTCCTCGCGGCGGCGCCGCTCCGCCGTCTCTTCACACCTCGCGGCGGTGAGCAGGCGTCCCGTTCGTCCTCAAGGCGGCACAGGCCGTCACCGAGAACAAGGTGGAGCTGCGCATCCAGTTCCACGGAGTGCCCGGCGCCGTCGCGACGCTCCGCTCCTGCGAGGCGAACGAGCTCGTCGTGCGCGTGCAGCCCGAGGAGGCCATCTACTGGAAGGTGCAGAGCAAGGTGCCCGGCCTGCGCTCCGACCAGGTGGAGCAGGTGCGGATGGACCTCCTCTACTCGAGGCTCGCCAGGAAGCTCGAGCGCAAGCTGCCGCAGGCGTACGAGCGGCTGCTGCTCGAGGTGATTGCAAACGACCACTCCCACTTCGTCTCGCCGGAGGAGCAGCTCGAGGCGTGGCGCATCTTCACGCCCGCGCTGCACCACTTGCGCGACGCGAAGCTGCCGCCGCACCGCTACCCGGTTGGCTCGCGCGGCCCCGCCGCCGCCGACCAGCTCGCGAAGCGGTACGGCATGCGCAAGTTTGGTGGCGGACTCACTCCCTATGTCATGCCGTTCAAGCCGAGCCACACCCCAGGGGTCGTGCCGGCGTCGCGATGGAGCTGAGCGCGGAGTAATATTTCTACAGTACGACAGTGACCATATGTCTGCGCGCGCTCCGACCTCCGCTTACAGTACCCCAATCGCTCTGCCTCTGGCCGCCCGAGATATTTAAGCCTCGGACGCGGGAGCCTCGCCGCTCGCCGGCTCGCCCTCGCGGCATGTGTACACACACCGCCCGTATCGTGGTCTCATGTGTCGTCATGATGGGGCCCGGCCGCGTGGCCCTGCCCCCTTCGGTCTCAGATCATCTTGCGGCTGCCGCGCGGTCCCCGAGCACGCTCCCTCACGGCGCCGCCGGCTTGCGGTTGTGAGCGAGGTGCGCCCGCATGAGGTGGCCCGCCGAGAGCGCTGCGAGGAGGGAGAGCTCGCCGGCGAGGACGGCGCCGGCGACGACGGTCGCCAGCTCTCGCGCGTGGCTGCCCGCCTCCTGGCCGGCGCCGGCGACGCCGAGCATCTCAAGGCAGGCGCGCTGCGGGGCGAGGATGGTTCCTCCGCCGACGGTGCCGACTTCGATCGAGGGCATCGTCACCGAGACGTGCAGATCGGCGCCGCCGTTGGCGGGCTCGAGGAGCGTGATGCACTGGGAGGACTCGACGTTCTGCGCCGCGTCCTGCCCGCACGCCAGGTAGAGCGCCGTCACGATGTTGGACGCGTGCGCGTTGAACCCGCCCAGCGCGCCCGCCATCGCCGAGCCAATCAGATTCTTAGCGACGTTGAGCTCGCACGCGGCGGCGACGGTCGTCTTGAGGACGGACTCGACGACGTGGCCGGGGATCGTCGCCTCCGCCACCACCGAGCAGCCCCGGCCCGAGATCCAGTTGACCGCCGCCGCCTTCTTGTCGCAGCAGACGTTGCCCGACAGGCCGAGCAGCTCGAGGTCGCCAAACGAGCCAGCAGAGAGAAAGTCGAGGACGGCAGAGACGCCCTTCGAGACCATGTTCATCCCCATCGCGTCGCCCGTCGCGCACACGAAGCGCGCGTACGCGTACCGCCCCGCCACCGTCACGCGGCACGAGGTGAGCCGCCCGAAGCGCGTGGTCGTCGCAAACTGCTCCTGCGCCACCGCGAGATTGGCGGGGTCGTGCATCCAGGCGGCGAACGCCGCGGCGCGGATCGCGCTCGGGAAGCGGATCACGGGCGCGCGCGTCATCCCCTGCGACAGAACCGCGGCCGACGCGCCGCCCGCCGCGGTGATGGCCTTGCAGCCGCGCCGAGTCGAGGCGATGAGAGCGCCCTCGACCGTCGCCAACGGGACCTGGTAGGTCTTACCGTTGAGCAGCAGCGGGCCAGCGACGCCGACGGGAAGCGGGATGTACCCGAACACCATCTCGGCGCACGCGCCGTGCACCGCGTCGTAGTCAAAGCCCTCGTGCGGCACGCGGCCGACCGCCTCGGCCGACGCGACGCCGGGCTGGCGCTTGAGCCACTCGCGCCGGACGAGCACCGCGCGCGCGCAGTCGCCGAGCTCGCGCTCGAGCGAGTGCACCGGGAGCTCGTCGCTGCAGACCTTCTCGACTACGGCGTCGACGCCATTGCCGACCGCTGTGTCTGTGTGAGTGTCCGTGTGAGCCACCATCGCTCTGTCGAGCTCCTTGCGGATGTTTTTCTTCTTTTCATTTTCTTGGCGGAGCTCGAGAGCGGTTTTGCTTCTTTTTGAAAAGTCCATGTGAGCGATGCCGTCGCCGCTCGCACCGTGCTCGCTCAGCCCCTTAATAAACCCCGATTACTGGTGTTCGCAAGTCTCTCTCGCACGCTGCGCGACCCGCGTCAAGGTGCGAGTCAACGGCCAGTGCTCGGCACTGCCTTCGTCATCGGAGAAGCTTGCTTCCTGTGTGAAGAGGTTACCGTAATGCCCCATTCCGTTTCCAGCTCCCCGTCTGCCGCTTTTTCCCGTCCTACACCTATCTTCCTTTCGTCGGCCTTAAACCATCTTTCTGTCTCATGCCATTACAGTTCGGCCTTCCTTTCGGCCCACCTT